AGGATTTGTCACCTCATTCTGTTTACTCATCTGTCAGTGGACATTGGGGCCACTGTGGTGCTAGATTTAGATCTAAAGCAAGAGAGTGGGAAGCAGATTAAGTTTCCTTTTTTTGGTTGTGGTCAGCCATTGTTAAAGCTGGTGAGAGAGAGCTGGAAAGATGGCTCAGAGGTTAAGAGCACTGGCTGCTCTTCCAGAGGTCCTGAGTTCAATTCCCAATAACCACGAGGTGGCTCACAACCATCTATGGTGAGATCTGGTGCCCTCTTCTGGTATGTGTGTACATAACAAATAAATCTAAAAAGAAAAAAAAAGGTAACAGTTCAAGACTGTCAGGTGACTGGCTCATTTCTCTCATGGTGGTCATACAGATCCCCAAGTGGGGGCATCAAGAATTTAGAGAAACAAATTATTTTACTTCTAGTAAATAAACTAGTAGCCAAAGAGGAGGTCTCTGCGGGTGTCAGGGAGACAAGTAAACCTTCTGAAGGGATGGAAATGAAAACATGAAAACTGACCTCATCAACCTGGAGCAAGACTTCCAAAGAGTCTGATGTAGGGAGTTTATTCCCAACAAATTTTAAACACAGTTGCGGGGCGGGGAGGTTTTCTGGCGTAATACAATCTCTAGTGCACAAGAAAGCAAAATTACATTGAAACTCAATTCAGGGTAAATGTCATTTCCCCCAACAAGATGGGTTTTAGCCAGGTGGTAGCGGTGTACACTATCCCAGCACTTGGGCTGTACAGAGCTAGTTCCAGGACAGCAGGGGATACACGAGAAACCATGACCAAAAAAAAAAAAAAGTTTTTAAATTTTATTTAGTATGTATGGGTGTTTCCCCTGCATGTCCGTCTGTGTCCCATGTGCGTGGCTGATGACCAAGGAGCCAGAGAAGGCTGTCAGAACTCGACTTACAGATGACTGGGAGTCATTGTATGGGTGCTGGAAAATGGACCCCAGGTCTTCTGGCAGAGCAGGCAGTGCAATTAATTTGAACCATCTGAGCTCAGTTTTTTTGTTTTTGTTTCGGAGACAGGGTTTCTCAGTGTAGCCTGGCTGTCCTGGAACTCACTCTGTAGACGAGGCTAGCCTCAAACTCACAGAGATCCAACTGTCTTTGCCTCCTGAGTACTGGGATCAAAGGCGTGCACCACCACTGCCCGGCTTCTGAGCTCAGCTTTAACACGCACACACTCACAGGGGAATGAATAAGGATTTTTTGAAATATGTTAGTTTTTCATGCTGTGGCGACATATCTGAAGTTGACATGAGGGTTTGTTTGTGCTCAGTTTCAAAGGGTTTATTTAGTCCTTGGAGTTTGCTTCACTGCTGCGGGTCTGTGGGGAGGCAAAACCATAATCATTGACAGCAGGCACTTACTTCAGGGCAGCCAGGTAGCAGAGAGACAGTAAGAATGGGGGAGCGGTGTAACTCCCCAACCCCCCCCCGCTGCCACCGCCCGCGCCCCCCCCCCCAGACTGACTTCCCCCTGCCCTAAGACTGACTTTCTCCAACCCCCGGCCCAGTTCAGGAAAATTATAGGCAGTTGTGAGCTACCAAGTAGGTACTGGTAATCTAACCTGGGTCCTCTGGAAGAGGAGCCAGTGTTCTTAACCACTGAGCATCTCTCCCATACTTTAGAAAGCTGCATTGCAAAAACCCTATACAAAGATCAGGCATGGTGTCACCCACCTTTAATTCCAGCGTTCAGAAGGCAGAGGCAGGTGAAAACTCAGTGGGTTCAAGTCCAATCTAGGCCATACTGTCAAGTCCGTGCCAGTCAGGGTCACACAGTGAGACTGTCAAAAAACAAACAGTAAAACTAAAGCTATACAAGTTGGGCATGGTAGCCCACACCTATAATACACTCAACACCTGTAAGGCTGGCACGGGAATATCAGTCCCGGTCAGCTGAGCTACATAGTAGTACCATCTCAAAACACGAAACAAATCAACATACTAACAAAATAGAATCCGGGATGGACTGAGCATACCAAGTGCTGGCAAGGACAGGGAGCAGTAGGAGCCCTCACATACTGGCAGGAACTCAGGGCGGCACAGCATGAGAGCTGGCAGCAGTTTCTTACAGCGCCAGGAAGGTACTTATTCCCACAGACTGAACGTAAGCATCCTGCTCTGAAATCCGAGTCCCTAAAGTGATGCTACCAAAAGGTGGGGCTTTGGGAAGTGGCTGGATTGTAAGTGACCGGGACTTCTGCCCTTAGAAGAGGCTAGAGAAATCTCCCTAACACCTTTCTGCTGTGCTAGGTTGCAAGGAGCAGGCACCACCCACGAACGCCTCACTAGCCCTTGGGTTCTCCAGACTCCAATACTTGGCAAAATGCATTCCTACTGTCTATAAGCTACCCATTTTACAGTATTTTGTTACAGTCACCTAAGACTGAGATATTTATAAAAGTTGTAGTTCCCTGAATATACATGTGCAAATGTATGCTTTTACACAAATATTCATAGTGGTTTATTCCTGAGAGCCCACGCTGGAAACCCAATTTCCATAAGCAAATGGACCAGTGAGCACATGTTGGCCTAGTCGTCCAATGGGACCCTATTTGGCAAAGAGAACTCCAAATGCAAAGCTCTGTGACAGAGTCTAAACACACTTTGGCCACATGCCAAAGTGACCAAAGTCAGACCCAAGGGCACCTGTCTCACCAATCCACGTGTGGGAGGTCCTAGGACAAGCAACGCAATTCTACACTCACAGGAAACGGCTATCAGGGTAGGGGTTGGGTCGACTCTGGGAAGAGTAAAAGGGGACTTTTTTGAGGTAAAAGAAATATTACTTTTCTTGACTGTGGTACTGCAAAGGAACTTCCTAAACAGTAGGAAGTCGATACTGTACCGTACTGATTGAAACGGTCTGGTAACGTTTCTCTACTAGCTATGTCACGTGACGGGGAGTTTTCTAAAAAATGAATATCGTGTCCTTGTTAAATTATCTGCCCACCTGAAGTGCCTGGGGTTGCTGGAATTTGCTAAAAACTCAGAATTTTCCCTTTAGGACAAAAATTATCTTCATATTGTCTCAAACTAATTGTTGTGATTGATGGTCTTATCAAAGGAATACAGAGGCAGATATGGCACATTTGCTGGCTGAAATCCACCGTGTACGAACCCTGAGCACAGGACAGCCTGTGCTCTGCCTGTCTGTGCAGACACCGTCCCAAATCTCTGCTCTTAGGCTGGCAGATGTCCACTGACTTCTCTGGACCAGTTAAAACATCAAGTCTGTGCCGGGCAGTGGTGGCGCACGCCTTTAATCCCAGCACTCGGGAGGCAGAGGCAGGTGGATCTCTGTGAGTTCGAGGCTAGCCTGGTCTACAAGAGCTAGTTCCAGGACAGGCTCCAAAGCTACAAAGAAACCCTGTCTCGAAAAGCCAAAAATAAAATAAAATAAAGTCCTCTCCAGAGCCTTCCTAGATCTAGCCCCTGGTCCAGAGCTCTCACAAGGGCTGGTGCCCACTTTGCACACTGTTCTGGTTTCGCCAACACACTCCCCATAGGATGCATGGCACCTTCTCACTCTCATCTTTCAAGAATCTAAAACTATTCCTCAAAGATCTTAATTTCAAACATTTCCAAACAAGTGACGTTAGAAAGAGACAGTCGAGCCTGGAGCTGCTAAAATAGAAAAAGACTGATGTAAACACGAGGGCATTGCCCTCAAAGTACAACGGGCAGCTCTGAACGAGGGCCATGCCACACCTGGTGGATAAGAACCGCAGACGGGAGACGGTCAGCAGTTCTAAAGAGCAAGTATCAACAGGACTTGGGGAGACAGTACTTCCTAGTAAAACAGACCACGCTGATGACAGAAAGAACATCCCAAAACTTAAAAACAGCAGTACAGAATGGTAGCAGGTATTGTAGCACACATCTGTGACCCCAACACTGAGGCGACTGAGGTGGGGCGAGGAGTTTGAGGCCAGTCTGGGCCACATGGTGAGAACCTGCCTCAAGAAAGCAAACAGATAAAGGATATGCCAATTACACAGACTTGGGTTTTTGTTTCATTTATTGTCATGTGCTAGACACTAGGGACGTGGGAATGAATGATACATGATCACTGTCCTCAGGGAACAGGGCACAATGAGAAAGAAAATTCAAAATTGTGGTATTCAAAAGCAAGTACAGTAGCAGAGGGAAGCACTGAGCAACAGAAGCCACAAACCCAGCTCGGTACTAAGGAAGCATTCTGGGGCATGGTGCCTGTGAGAGGCCTCGCAGAATAATCAGGAGCGACTTGGGAGACAGGGGGAGACCCATCAGGACAGGAGTGGGAGCGGCCTGGTGGATGTGGATGGAGGAACAAGTCAAATACTTTACCAGGAGTCCAACAGTTGAAAAAGCAAAGGCCAGGGACTCAGCCCTGTGGCATGGAGTCTAGTCCCAGACAATAGGGAAGAACCAACTTGCAGTTTTGCATAAGTAAACCCCTTTCTCTGTATAAGTAAACCCCTTTCTCCAACCTTTCAGAGAAGTAGCCATTTCTCAAGTAATAAAGCTCTGCTCTGAAAAGATTTAACTCTGACAGTGTGTAACTTTAACGAAAATCTAGAAAATGCTCTAGAGGTTCCCCCTCAGTGTTCAGCTCAAAGTCAGCTGTCCAGTCCCTCTGAAAGATCCAGATAAATCCAGACCCCTCTAGCAGAAAGAGTAGAGCCCCCCCCCAAAAAAAAATTGTAGCAGGGAGAAAAGAACCAAAAATCTAGGTTAACCGGTTCAGTGACTCTGTTCCAGGAACTAGCTGACCATAAAGTTAGATTATAATCTTGAGAATAATTTTGAGAAACAGGGAGTTACCCCCTTGTAATTATCACTGGTATTTTTGGAATTTTCCAATGATGCCCTCCCTACCCCCTTTGGGTTATTGGGTTATAGTTTCTTCCCTTAAATACCCCTTCTCCCAGCTACTTGGGGTCGAACTCTCTACCCCTGCGTGGGAAATGAGTTTGGGCCCCAGTGCACTGGTTCCTGTCCTGTGAATAAACCTTGTGTGATTGCAGCAAGGACGGTCTCTCATGAGTTCCTGGGGGTTCGTGTTATCCCGAGACTTGAGTGAGAGTCTCCCCACTCCGGGGGTCTTTCACCTCAGCTTTCCTGACCTGGTGACAGACGACAGACCGAACCACAAGCAGGCTATCTGTGACTTGGGAAATGTGACAAGCCACATCCTAGGGGCCATAGATATACTAAGTATGCCCATTTCCAAGCACCACTTACTGACTCCAAGAGCGACTGTCTCATAAGTGACCTGCATGACATTCCTGATCTGTAGATGCCTCTCCCAAATGAAGGGAAGTCTCGCTCAGGGAAAGATCCTCCTGGTGGACAAAGTCTGGGGGTGAGGTGAGATCCGTTCCATGCTGACTGTACTGGCGGAGCTTCTCCTCGGTGTGCGTCTTCTGGTGCTGAAGGAAGTTGGACCTCTGTATAAAGCCTTTCCCACAGTAGCTGCACACGTAGGGCTTCTCCCCAGTGTGGACGATCTGATGCAGCAACAGCTTTGAGCTCTGGATGAAGGCTTTCCCGCAGTCTTTGCACTCAAAGGGTCTGTCTCCAGTGTGGATCTTCTGATGCTCAGTGAGGTGGGCCTTCTGCAGGAAAGCCTTCCCGCACTCTTTGCACTCGTACACCCGCTCGCCGGTGTGGATTTTCTGGTGTCGGATGAGGTACGAGCTCAGAAAGAAGGCTTTGCCGCATTCGTTACACTCGTAGAGTTTTTCCCCGGTGTGGATCCTCTGGTGCTGAGTGAAGTTGGACGTCTGACTGAAGCGCTTCCCACACTCATTGCACACGTAAGGCCGTTCTCCAGTATGAATTCTCTGATGCTGGATGAGCTTTGAGCTTCGAATAAAGGCCTTCCCGCACTCGTGACACTCAAAGGGTCTCTCTCCAGTGTGAATTCTCTGGTGCTCAATGAGGTCCGAACGGTGCCGGAAGGCTTTCCCACACTCCCTGCATTCATACTGTTTCACTTCTGTGTGGATCTGGTAGTGCCGAATAAGGCTCGAGCTCCGAATGAAAGATTTCCCACACTCGTTACACTCATAGGGTCTCTCACCCGTGTGAATTCTCTGATGGCGAATGAGTAAGGAGCTCTGACTGAAGCCCTTCCCACATTCTTTGCATTCAAAAGGCCTCTCTCTGGTGTGGACTCTCTGGTGTCGAAGCAGGTCTGAACTGTGACAAAACGCTTTCCCACACTGTGCACACTTGAACGGCTTCTCTCCGCTGTGTACACGCTGGTGCTCAACTAGGTCAGCATAGTGAACGAGGTCTTTCCCACACACGTTGCACACAGAGAGCCTGTCCCCAGCGTGGACTCTCTGGTGTTCGGTGAGGAGGGAGTTTTGACTGAAGCCTTTCCCACAGTGATCACACTGATAAGGCTTCTCCCCTGCATGAGAAATCGGATGTGGAACTACATTTGAATTAAATGGGAAGCTTCTGCCACCAACACCACAAGAACGGGCCTCCCCTTCTAGGAGCTCTCTCTGAAGTATCAGAAGGTTTGAGTTGAGAACAGGGTTTCTTCCTGACTTACTACACAGCTGGGCCGTTTCTCCTGTTTGAATTTTCCAGTGGGCCACTGCCATCTCCTGAGAGGGGGGACTCTCGAGGCTCTGTCTTTCTGGAGTCCCCAACAGCTGCGCTAACCTGTCTTCATGGAACTCCCCGGGCTCCGAGGCGGAAGGCTCCAGCACTGGACGTTTGTCAGACATCATATTATGTGACTTTTCATCCCCAGAAGTTCAGGCTTCGGGAGCACCTTCTTGTCCCCAGCTCCTACAGTAGAATCTGAAATGAGAGAAGAAGATGTCTTTCCCTTTCGTTAACAAGAAGCTGCCGAGCAGGCAGAAGGTCTAAAATTAAACACCCATGAAAGTGAGAAAGGAAGCCTTTCCTCTGCCCACACTTCGGGCCCTTCACTGTTTCCAACTCTCACCTTGCTCCAACCCACTGTACACATGGGAAGGCTTCTTGGGGCTCTACCTCTCATATGTCCAACCCCAGGACAAACAGGCCTGTGCCGGTCAAACAGCACACCTCTACCTGTGTCCTGGGTGGGAGACAGAGAGACAGGGATAGACACAGGGCTCTACTTAAAAATCAAGACATGTAGTCGGGCCATGGTGTCACACGCCTTTAATCCCAGAACTTGGGAGGCAGATCTCTGTGGGTGTGAGGCCAGCCTGGGCTACGGAGTGAGTTCCAGAACAGGCTCCAAAGCTACTGAAAAACCCTGTCTTGAAAAGCAAACAAACAAGAAAAAAAAATCAAGACATGTAATTCTAAAGATCACGCAAATAAAATGCATCACTCCTCCTACCCTCCTGCCTCATCTCTCTTGTCCGCACCCAGTGTGCAGCCCATGGTCCACAGCACTGCGCTCGCTGTAGGCTATGTGTAATACACAGGGCCTCAGTGCTAGCAGCAATGCGGCATTTCTGGCCTCCAGTGACTGAAGCCAAGAACCCAGCCGGGCTTTCCATACTTCCAATCTCTCACCCTTTCGATAGCCTTATAATCTAGTCCCCTCAATGGAATCCCTTGGTGACTGGAATGGCTCCAGTGGCCCCTGTCCTGGGCCTCACTGGCACAATTCTCAGCAGTTTATATACTTAGCCCTAAAAATCATTGGGCTCTGTCTCCAAGAGTTGGCCCATTCCAGATAAAAAATAACAACAGCAACAAAAACCCTACATCTGTACTGAACGTGTACACACTTTTTATCTTTTACTTTTTGGTCACTGTTCCTGGAGAAAACAGACTTACCTAGCTGTCACTATGTATCAGGTACGGTGAGTAGTAGAGATGATTTAAAGGACAAGAGCTGTGAGCAGATGGCACTGCAAACATTAACACATTTTTTTTTAAAGGCAGGGTCTCACTATGTGGTACTGGCTGGCCTAGAACTCACTATATGAACCAAGCTTGCTTTAGGCTCGCAGAGATCCACCTGCCTCTGCCTCCTCAGTGCCGAGATTAAAGGTACGGGCAACACACATTTTAAGGAAGAGACTCAAGAAGCCACAGTGAGAAAAGGTATAAATCCTCTTTGTGCAACTCAGCTGCCCTTTTCTTCCTGTTACCTTGTGTGAGACCCAGCTCCGGCCACCTTCAACCTGTTTTGGATCTGTCTGAACTCTTTCTGACCAAGCGCTATCTGTATCTACAGCCCTAATGCCCTACGTAGTCATGACTACGCTCATCCAACTCTCCAAATGCAAATATCCTTCTCTCTCTCTCTCTCTCTCTCTCTCTCAAGCCTCAAGCCAGGGTGTCAGGGTGTCACTATGTAGACCTGTCTGTCCTGGAACTAGCTCTTGTAGACCTCGAACTCACAGAGACCCACCTGCCTCCGGAGTGCCAGGATTTAAAGGTGTGCACCACTGCCCGGCCATCCTTTTCTTCTTTTCAAAAGGCCGACAGTGGGGTTGTAGAGATGGCTCAGCAGTTAAGAGCACTTGCTGTTCTTACAGAGGACCCAGGTTCAGTTCCCAGCACACACAACAACGGCAGCTCACAACTGTCCGTAACTTCAGTTCCAGAGGATCTGATGCTCTGATGCTGTTTTCTGACCTCCGTGGGCACCAGGACCACATATGGTATATATACATATACAGGTAAAACATTCATACACATAAAATAAATATTTAAAATGCCTAGCACTTTTTCTATCCCTTAGCCCTTGCTTCAGTAAGAAAGCAAGGGCAGAGAGACAAGAACGCCCACTTCCACCGCCTACCTGTGTTTACCTCCCTCTTCTCATGAGTCAAGCTAAACTCGACCTGAGAGAGGGTTCTCACCTCCCCTTGCTCTAGACCTCCTCCCATCCATCTCATCCAGCCATCATTCCCTCCCTCTTACACAGAAGCTTCTCTCGCCGTCTAGTCTGTCATTCCAATCAGCATACAGCAATGCTAGCTCTTCCATCCACTTAATTGGGGACAGAATTGCTGGGTTTGATATAGTACGGAACAAGAGAGCTGTGACATCTTCTAGGTAGATTATCAAAATCTCATTTAAAAAACTAAATGGCACACACATCTAGTCTCTGCTACTCTGGGGGAACATATCAACACCCTGACTCACAGAACAAGAATACCAACCTAACTTCCTGGCCTCTGTTTCCTCTCCAGCTACCACCCCACCTCTCCTTCATAATGACACTCAAAAGTCACTGAGTTTATTTTTGTATCTCCTTTCTTTAATACGCCGGGGTCAGGTTATCACAATAGTTTATGGCGTCACCAAACTTCAGTCACTTACTCAGCTCCGCTTCTGCCTGCACCTGACACCCAATGACTTCTTACTCAGGAAGTCATCTTGTCACAGTACTCCTGGGGCAGCCTCTACTAGCTTTCCCACTCACTAACTACCTTCTCCCAGTGTTCGGTGATGACAATGGAGCCTTGCCACAATCCAGGCAAGACTTCCTCCATCTCTCCTGACCTACCTTAGCAGAGAGATGGTATCTCTTGCTGGAAACAGTTTTCTTCCTGCAGCTGGGCCCTTTTCCAGCTTCCACATGACTAGCCCTCGATCTGATGCCTTCTCGGGTTTTCAAACCTCAGGTGTCAACCTTCCAGCTTCTGCTAAATCTGCCCTTTCTCCATGAGTTTGCATTTGTTCAGCCAGAACTGTGCATATCCTTGGTTCCCTTTACTTTTACTAATGCCCCACATCCAATCCACCAGCAGACCTGTAAGTCAGACCATTATATTGCGTTCTGCTCATCTCAAAACTCCAAAGCTATTCTCTACTATTATTTCTTTGCACGCAAGGGGGACAATTGTCTAGCCTGTCTCCACTGTTTTCGGAAAGAGCCAGCAGGATGACTCTTTAAAAGCATAAATGGAATGGTGACTTCCTGTGTAAAAACCTTCAAGGCTCTCCTACCCCCTCCCCCCCCACACACACACCAGCATTCTTCTCCAAGTAGGTAGAAGAATTAGCAGGAACACTTGGGTCACTTACTAGGCACTTGAGCCAGACCTTTCCCACCGCTCCTTCTAAGAGCGAGCTGTCTCGGGTGTGTGTGTGTGTGTGTGTGTGCAAGCTTTAAGTTTCAGAACTGTAGAAGTTTCTACAGCAAGGCAGTGCTGCCAGACTGCTGCACCGGAGTCTAACTGACAGCCAGCATAAGGAAGTCTGAGGCAGCAGCCCAGCCATGGTGCTCAGAAAGGACCTGGGTCATCTCATCTCACGTCTGTCATCGAGTGACAGGGAGAAAAGAGACTAGAAGAGAATGTAGATTAGCCAAGATCACTAGCCCAGTCAGGAGCAGAGCGAAGGCTCAGATTCAGGTCTGTCACCCACAGAGTCCATTTCCTGCGTTGAGAGACTTGATTCTTCGTAAATACATGTTGCTCTTATGGGGTGTTTTGCTTAGAGATGGACAGGATTAGTACTATGAAGAAATCTGCATATTGAAACTTAATGTTTGAAAAAAGGGTAAAATGGACGTGTGGTATCTGCTTTTAGACTTTTACTATAGTCTATAGCACTAAGGTTATTATGCATTATATAGAACTCAGGGTATTACATATGCTGGGCAAGTGAGTGTCCCACCAATGAGCTACCCCTCAGCCCCGGATACCACACTTACAATGACGATGTTAGCCGGAAACAAGCCTGCATCTGTTTACAAGAGTAGCTTAAAACCACGTTGCCTCTTTATGACCTTTATAAGTTCTTGTTTTAAGGGAAATCTCTTGAATAAAACATATCTGCCTGAAGAAATGTTCATCTCAAAATCAGCAAACTGGGGGCTTGAGAGATAGCCTGGGGTTAAGAGCATTCGTTACTCTTGGGGTGGGGGTGGGGATATGAAATGTAGGCCCTGGCAATGCTGAAGCTGCGTGGGCAGCCCGTATATGGTGGTTCTGTTGAACTTGTCCATATTGGGTTTCACGGTCTAAGTTGATGAGGACGACTGACCAGGTCTCTTCCTCTACTCTTTCAGAGGACTTGGGTTTAATTCCCGGAACCCACACAGCAGTTCACAACTCTGTAACTTCAATTCTAGGGGATCCGATGCCCTCTTCTGGCTTCTGAGGGCACCAGGCACAAACATGATGGACAGGCTTACGTGCAGACTAAACACCCATACACATAAAATAAAATAGGAGTAGGAAAATTGGCATAGCTTCAGCCTTGGGAAAAACCAGTCAAGTGGGCCTCAACACCCACCTCCTTAGAAGCCTCTGCCATTGCACAGTCAGCTGGGTGCCATGTGGGCAAAGCAGGTTTGTATTATGTTCTCAGAATCATCTAGAAGTTTACCAGAGGCAGCTTACTGGAGGTCAAAAAGAATAGAGTCAGTGGCTGGCTGCCCCCTTAGGGCTCCTTGTCCAAACTCTGCCCCCAGTACATGCACACAGGGTCTCCCACCGACACAAACAAGCTTCTTTTCCAACAAGCCCAGGGGCCTACAGCAGCCATCTTCCTTCCACAAGCCAAAGAAGCAGTTAGGAGGGCTCTCTGAATTACTTCAAGCCTGCTGCTTCTCTGACATCCCTTCCAACACCAGATCAGATCATGAGTCTTTCCCAGCTCTGCTATCATCCCCAGACCCCCAATTATTCCAGGACCAGGATTCCATTCTCAAAGAACCAGCAGTGTCCAGAGCCAAATATACCGGCTTGTGAAGTTTCCCTGTACCTCCCATGAAGTATTATAAAAACAGATACAATGCTGCATCCACGAAAGGTCTGCTGTTTGTTAAAAGGGAAGTGAGACACCGCCTTAAAAGTCAGTGTGTAAATTGGGCATGGTGGCTTGCACTTTTAATCCCAGCACTCGGGAGGCAGAGGCAGGTGGAGCCAGCCTGGTTTGCAGAGCAAGTTCCAAGACAGCTAGGGCTACACAGAGAAACTCTGTCTCGAAAAACCAAAAACAACAACAAAACCCCGCGCGGAGTGGGGAGTGGGGTGTGGGGGTGCGCGCACTGATTTCTCCGTGAGCAAAAGACATTTATTTCTCTCTTTCATTGGGATGGGTCTCAGCGGAAGGATGTCTGCGAGTGCACAGGGTGACTGTGAATACTAGCTCCTGCTGGAAACTGCTGGAATTTAGAGCCATACTCCTGCTAAAACCCACAGACAACCTTTAGCGTACTACTCAGGCCCTGGGGACTCCTGGACCACGGTGGGGCAGGATGCAAGGTGGGTTAAATGTTCCGAGCATCATCACAGAGATATCACAGACGTTGACTCTGTTATGTCATCACAGACTATGACAGCTTGGCTGACTCCTGACCCCCACCTGGGAATCCTCCTTCAGGTCGTAAGAAGTTGATTCTGCCCAACACGCACATTATCTGCAACCCCTGAAGCACTGGGGTGCCTGCACTGCATCTCTTCCAGGTGAGGCCGAGAGGCCTGACGGAAGGAAGGACGGCAAGGTCCAAGCAGAACAGCAGATGCGTGCACCTGCACTCAGATGCATCTGAGCAGCCTGCAAGCGGCCAGAGGCCTGAGCTCTGGGCGCCAAGGATGAGTGTGCAACCCCTAAAGACCTCGATGTCCTCGGGCGACCAAACCAAGCATCTACCACACCCAAGTCTGGGAGGAAAAACCGCAGGGCTCGGCCCGAACGAAGCAAGAAGCTGCGGACACCTGCAAAAATGAAGTGCAGCCAGGCCCGGAACACCAAACCGAATTGCTGAACCCCACTGGCTACGAGCCCACCCGCCTGCCCGCGCCAACTACGACGCCCCACTCACCCGGAGCCCGGCGGCGAGAGGACGGCGCGGAAGCAAGCCGAGCCGCACCCGGCCGCGCAGCCCCGGGCGACCACAAAGCCCACACCGCCGCTGCACACCCCGGCCGGAAGCAACCCGATGCCCCGCCCGGAGGACATCCGTAGCCGCTCTAGGATGAAAGTGGGGACCCAAGCCTTCTCCGTGCCAGACTTCCGGCCCAGACCACTGCGGCCAGCCAGAGGACCCAGTGCGCAGACTCAGCGGTGAGAGTCCTTGTTTGCCCACGTGGGTATGGGGTTAGCGAGGATGCCCAGCAGTAGATGTCGCCAGATATCCCTGGAAAAGCTGGGAAAAGCAGGCCTTGTAGAGAAATTTTACTGAAGGTTTCTTGTTGGTTCTGGTGGTGTTGGTTCTGTTTGGGGCTTTTGGTTTTGGGTTTTTAAACACCTTTATTATTATTATTAGTGTGTGTGTGCGTGCGTGCGCGCGCGCGCGCGCGCGCGTGGTCGAAAGACGACTTTGAGCCGCTGTGCCTGAGAGACATGATCTTAACTTTGTAATAAGCCACTGGAGACTCAGAGTAGTGAAATTAAGGCAGTTATTTTACCATCTTGCAAAGTTAAGTGTGAGCCTAGAATGCAAGCTGATTGAGGCAGAGAATTGCATTTATTTTTATTGTGCATGTTAGTGTTTTGCCTGTGTGTGTGTCTGTGCACCATGTGCATGCTTGGTGTTCATGGAGTCCGGAAGAGGGCACCAGATCCCCTGGAACTGGAGTTAGATATAGCTGCCATGTGGGTGCAAAAATTGTACCAAGGATTCTTTGGAAGAGCAACTATAACAATTATCTTTCTGTCCTGCCAGATAGTTCCCAGATAATGACACAGAGACTTCTTATTAATTATGAAAGCTCAGCGTATAAATTAGGCTTGTTCCTAACTAGCTCTTAGAACAAACTAACCCGTTTATAGAAATCTGCATTCTTTCACATGGGTTACCTCTCTTCCATCTTGCACCTCCTGTTTCCTGTCCATGTCTCCTAGGGTCCATTCTTTCTCCTCTTCCTTTCTCTCCCTGGAAATCCTTCCTATACTTCCTGCTTAGCTATGAGCCGTTCAGCTTTTTATTACACCAATCACAGCAAATACATCTTTACAAAGTGTAATTTATAAATTTGTAAATAATTTGTAATTTGTAAATATCCCAAACAAGCAATGAGTGTTCTTAACTCTGCAGCCCCATGGAGGGTACAATCTTAATAGTCATATGTATTAACAGAAAACTGGGTGGGTTTTAATAGGTTCTATGTCACACACACACACACACACACACACACACACACACACACACCTATAAGTTTCTCTGCTGACGCAGTAAGCCAGGTCTAGCCTAATTGAAAAACAACAGTTATATTGAGCAAAGAAATTCCCGGGCAGGTTCTCTGCTCCCAGAGATCAAGGCCAAAGAAGTTGAATCCCCAAACTAAAACTGGGACATTTTATAGGTTATAGGCAAGGGGTGATGGTGTGTCTGCCACAAGCTGCTGGCGCCTTTCATTTGTTTGGAGAATCTGTGAGCCAGCCAGAGAAATGGGGCTTACCAGATGAGTTGGACGAGGCTCCAATCAAATAGCGCTCGCTCTCTCTCTCTCTCTCTCTCTCTCTCTCTCGTTGGTTTTGTTTTTTTTTTGTTTGTTTTTTTTTTGAGACAGGGTTTCTCTGAGTAACCCTGACTGTCTTGGAGCTTACTCTGTAGACCAGGCTGACCTTAAACTCTCAAACATTCGCCAGCTTCTGCCTCCCAAGTGCTAGGATTAAAGACGTGCACCACCACTGCCCAGTTTATCTCTACATTTTATATCCTGTTTATTTTATATCCTTATATATAAGGTCAGACTCATAACCTTACAAGCAAGCTTGGCTGCAGCTTTCTACCCTAAGCTTCTAGGGTTTGTTGTTTGTTTGTTTTGGAGGGGAGGGGAAGCTTAGCAGAGTTTGGTGCAGTTGTGGGGGATAGCTAAATTAGCAGGTATAGCAGGGGGCTAGTGTTTCCTGTTCATTTTTATATAGACCTAAACTGGCTTGAGGAACCTTTGGAAATTAACCATTAGGTTTTACTCATTTTTAAAAAGATTTAGTTGTTTATTATTTATTAATTATACAGTGTTCTGTCTGCTTGTATGCCTTCAGGCCAGAAGAGGGCACCGATCTCATTATAGATGGTGTGAGCCACCATGTGGTTGCTGGGAATTGAACTCAGGACCTCTGGAAGAGCAGCCAGTGCTCTTAACCTCTGAACCATCTCTCTAGTCCTAGGTTTCACTTCTAACGTATTGTTTTAGCTACGAGTTTCTATTGCTGTGATGAAACACAATGACCAAGATGCAAGTTGGGGAGGACTATGACTCCATCATAGTCCATCATTGACAGAAGTCAGAAGAGGAACTCAAACAGGGCTAGAGCCTAGAGGTAGGAGAATCTAGCTGATGCAGGGGCAATGGAGGCGGGGGGGGGCTGCTTACTGGCTTGCTCAACATGGCTTCCTCAGCCTGCTTTCTTACAGAACCCCAGTGGCCTGGGCCTGGGAGGTCCCCCATTAATCACATGCCCCACAGGCTTGCATACAGCCCAGTCTTAGGAAGGCGTTTTCTTAATTGAGGTTCCCTCCTCTCAGATGACTTTAGCTTGTGTCAAGTTGACATAAGACTATTCAGCACACATACTGTTCTAAAAATTGCACAAGTCTACAGAAGGACTGTGTTGGCTCCTTCACTGGAGAAGTCAACCCCTCCGTGTGCCAGTGGCCCAGGATACCCCCAGTGAAACTCTGTTTCTGGAGTCCTTTTGTCCCACCTGGATAGAAATGGTGTGTTGAGGCAAAAACAAGTTCTACAAGTATGACCTTTGAGTACCCAAGGCCTAGGCGCCGCACAGGCAGAACCACTTACCTGTAGCTCTAAGCCCTAAGTGGAATTTAGAAGCCAGAGGTTAAATGTTATTGGCACTTAGATTAATGACTTACTACTCTGGTCGGTAACCACCAGTCACCCTGGCATTCAGCAGCAGCCGCTCCTCAACATCTAGTAGAAGTGTGTGGTGGCATCGGGCAGCACTGTTAGTATTGCACCACCTAAATGAGTCTCAGGCTCCCAGATCCTCAACTCCTACAGAGGCCAGTGTTTCAGTCCTGACTAACCTGGGAGCTTTGGTCCTTTCAAAGCTTGTCAGCTCCCTACAACTCTGACAACCAAGGCCATTTCCCACCTCCAGTTTGTCCCAGCCTCTGCTATCTGGGACAGTCTTCTCAGTGTCCCCACCACCATTGTCCTTGCTACCATTTTCCTGCTCCACAGCTCTTCCTATGACCAGATAAACCTGCTCTTCTCATGATTAGAAACAAAAGTAGACAAAAGAAAGACCACTGGAGAGAAGCCTTTAATTGGGCTTAAGGTTACAGCACAGGAGAGTGTTCACTCAGCTGTCTTGGACAACAAACAGGTAGCGTGCTTATAAGAAAGGAAATGTGACACAAGGATGTTTGAACCAATTGCAGAAGTCTTTACCTCGAACAAAGGATTGTGCGTGTGCTGATTATACTACAGTCCGTGGTGCAACCAAAAACTGCACCGGTCATGGACCTTCTGTCTGACTGCTAAGTCAAGTCTACTGTCTGGCCAAGTTGAAAATGGCTGTTAGTGTCCATCAGGGTGGGGCAATATTATACAGGCCACTTATTTTTACATTGTATGGAGGCCAGGGTCTCAAACCGTCGGTCACACCTGAGGTGGTCACCTAGCACTTACAGACAGAGTGTCGCCAGTGTTAGGATATGCTAATGTCCTTTCTCATAATTACGGGAAGAGGTGTTAATCTAAGCCAAGTGACAGAGCAGCCATAGTTGCAGACGTGACTTTAGTTCCGCTACCCCGGAAACAGAATGCTAATGAACTTCCCCCTCAGTTTACCTTTGGATATAAAAGTTGTTTTGAAAATAAACGCGGGTGATCTTCAGGATTTAAATGTACCCTGAGACTCCCTTCCGATATTGCTGTGTGAACTGTGTCTCAATTATTCCCGTGCCTCCACACCGGTCCAGAGAGATAATTTATGTTGGTGTTGGACCCCGACAATCAAGATGTGTGTGTGTTTATGTATGTGCAGGTGCACATGTGTGCATATGTCTGGCAAGAGGGCAGCCTGGGGTGGTGTTCCTCTGGCACCATCCACCTCTATTTCAAACAAACAAAAGACAGGGTCTAGAGCAATGGCTTAAGAACACTGGCTGCTCTTCCAGGGATCCAGATTCAATTCCCAGCACCCACACCCACAGGGTGGCTCCCCGCCATCTGTAACTCCAGTCCCAGGGGACCCAACAGCCTCTTCTAGCCTTCTGGCCTCCCAGGACACAAAACAGGCAGGTAGTGTACAGATACACGTGTGTGCAAACACCCGTCCACATCAGATAAGTGAGTAAATAAATAGTGAAAGACAGAGTTTGTCACGCTGCTCTGGAACTCACCAAGCAGGCTAGGCTGGCTGGCCAACAAGCCCCAGAGATGCCTAGGTCTCTGCCTCCCCAGCAGGGCATGCTTTTTTGTTGTTGTTGTTATGTTGATGGGTATGTATGTTAGTACCCACAGATGCCAAAGAGGGTCACTTTTTAAAAACATGGGCTCAAACTCCATTCTTTGTGCCTCCAAAGCAAGCGCTTGACTGAGTTACGCCCCTAGTCCCAACTCAGGCTCTGAACGGCCAAAGGGTGGGTGCAAGCTATTCAAAACGTATGGTAAGTAACCCAGTGCCTTCTGAAGCTGGACTTGTGCTTCAGCAGCAAGCAGAGGTCATACATAGTGTAGCTTCCTCAGTTGTCTGAGGTCTTTCAACTGTTTACAACCTGGCGCAGTAGCCAGGCGGTGGTGGCGCACACCTTCAATCCCAGCACTCAGGAGGCAGAGGCAAGTGGATCTCTGCGAGCTCAGGGACAGCCTGGTCCTCATAATGAGCTCCAGCACAGCCAGGGGTTACACACAAGGAGAAACCTTGTCTCCAAAAACAAAACAACAGAAACAAAAACACAGTTGTCACAAGTGCAGTTTGGACAGAGAGAGGTTGCTTAGCTGACAGTTCTCCACTCTAGGAAGCTAGGCACTATAATCTAGTACTTGTCAACTAAGGATTCAATTCAGGACCACCACCCAGTATCTTACTTTATTTACAGGAAGAATAAACATTAGAAGGGATGATTAGTTATGAAATATTAGTTGAACACGTGTTATATTTATTTATGCTATGGAATATTTGTTTAATGATGCAAAAATGTGTGGCATTCTTCTATGTTGCATTTTTTTTAACTCTGTGAAGCTGTGTTACTTTGCCTGTCTAAAACACCTGATTGGGGGCTGGAGAGATGGCTCAGCGGTTAAGAGCACTGACTGCTCTTCTGGAGGACCCAGGTTTGATTCCCAGCACCCACATGGCAGCTCACAACTGTCTATAGCTCCAGGATCCAGCACCCTCACACAGATATACATACAGGCTAAAACACCAATAAAATAAACAATTAAGAAAAACCCACCTGATTGTTCTAATAATGAGCTGAATGAACAATAACAAGGCAGTAGAAAGGAGAGGTGGGGCTGGAATGCAGAGAATAAATAGAAAGAAGAGTAGAAAGGAGGACCCTGCCAGGCAGTGTTGGCATAAGCCTTTAATCTCAGCACTCGGGAGGCAGAGGCAAGCGGATCACTGTGAGTTCCAGGCCAGCCTGATCTACAAAGTGAGTTCCAGGACAACCAGGGCTACATAGAGAAACCCTGTCTTGAAAAATCAAGGGGGAGAAAAAAAAAGGAGGACCAAGAAAGGGAGAAGGAGAGGAGGACTCTAGTTAGGGGCCTGCCATCCAACTACACAGCAAGTCATGGAATAAGAAGTAAAAGGTATATAAAAAGGTAAAAGCCCAGAGGCAAAAGATATATGGGATAACATAAGAAAAGATGGCTAGAAATAAGCCAAGTTAAGACTAGACATTCGTAAGAAAGAGTAAGTCTCTGTATGAATACTCTTTGGTGGGGCCCCCCCCCGAGAGTAAGAGTTAAAAAAAAAATACCAACAACAGTTAGTAGCTGGGTACGTGGGTACGTGCCTTGGGTGGATCTCTGCGAGCTCAGGGACAGCCTGGTGTACATAGCTAATTCCGGGTCAGCCAAAACTACATAGTGACATCCTGTCTCTAAGAAGAGGGGAGGTGATTACAGTAAAGCTTTATCATTATTGAACAATATGGTAACAGTGCTAAGCTTGTGACCAAGGACATTTTAGACAGGGTCTGGGACCAAACCTCTTCTCTAGAGATAACCAGTTCTGAGACTCCCAACACTCTTGCCAGTCAGGCTCAGAGGCAACCTCTGTTCTGGAAATGAGCACTCCAGGGGCTCCAGCAGGCTCAGCATAATCCCAGCTAGAACTGCCCTAAATTCCTAGAGAATTTAGGGAAGGCCTTCCACTCTCCAGGGATCTTTTCCACATAGCAAGGTCTTTGAAAGATCTGAACGTCATCCCTTTGAAATGAAATCAGCAAAGATGGGTTCCAAGTCTGTCAGTGTGGGAAGTTGCCCATGCTCCAATAAATGACCCTACACCCGTGCTCATGCAAAACAACCCTAGTTATATTTAGTGAGTCATTTAACAAGACATAAAATTAGGAGGGGGTTTGTTCAGAAGAAGGGGCTCAGAGGGAATTGGGGGGGTAAAGTAACTAATGAATGTGAATTAAATGCATCGTATATGCCTATTAAATTATCAATCAGTAAATAAGAGATGTTGAAACATTCCACTCCGGAGAGGCTCCTTAAAACTTGGGAAGCAGACAACTCACAGGTCTCAAGAAGTCCCTAAAACCAGGTTCATAAATTATATAAGCAACAAGGACAGTTGAGGAGGGGAGACCTGCCCAGCTAAATGCAAATAATGCAGAGAGTACCAGGATTTCAGCTTTCCCAAGTCTTCATTCATGCTGGGGTGGGCTCTTTAGTGATGTAACCCCAGGGAACTCACTGGTTCACACCGTTGAAGGGAATTTCACAGAGCAGGTACTGATCTGACTCTTACCCACTCGTCATTTCTGTTGGAGTTTGCTTCCATCTCTCTGGCCACGCTGGAACTCCTTGAACTCTGCTGCAACCTCTTTAGCCCATTGGAGACATCCTGTAGCCCACACGTAGATCGATAGATTCACTGTGTAATTATAATCTGTAGCCTCAAAGCTAATAATCATAGTAAAGATTAGAATACAGTAACTTGTGTTTGCTTCAGCTCAATGTCAAGGGGATCAGGACTACTTGGCATGTTGCTGCCAGTGAAATCACTATGCCATTTGAATTTATTATTGTCCAATAAATTCTGATATTGTGGAAAAAAAACACAAGCGTGCCAGTTCTTCCACAATTTATTTGGGCTTGGAGGGTTGGCAAATGCACCTGCCTGTCGAGCCATATCCTCAGCCTGTGTCTGTATTTTTAAATCAACACTACCAGCCCAGTTGATATAATTAGCTAAATTTAAAGCATCTGTTGTCCTACTGAGATCCTCATGACCAATACATATGTAATACATATTTATGCATACATTTTATGTGTAAATATACACATACATATAATATACATATATGTGGTATATATACATATATACCCTATATAGAGATATAGACATGGATGGATAGATAGATAGATAGATAGATAGATAGATAGATAGATAGATAGAT